CATATATACCATGCATGTATAATTATATCAAAATCTGTAACTAGAAAAATAGGCGAGTTTTCCATTGGGCTCTCAATCAGTTCGCAAAGAGATTAAGAAAAATCAGTTTTTGGTATGGAAAAGGCCAACTGGAGAAAAGCTGTAGAGTTACTCATGGTAATTCTGCAGAACTAATTGACAGAACACAAAATTTCACTTGACAACATGCCCCCAGCTGGCCCTTGTACTCTCCTTTAAGTTGTTCAGCGCAAGAAAACAATAGTTCCTATCTATTTGGTCATTTCTCATAAAGAAAATAATGTATTCTACTTTATCTGTCACATAGAGCCAAGATTGTAGCAGGACATTGGATATATGTCAGTTTCCATAATCACAAATTGTTGATAAACGAATTTTTTTCATTTCTTTGTATAATTATTTCTTGTCATTGGATATCTTGTCATATTTTATGTGACCAATCCCCATAATCAGTCAAAAGCAGATACCAACTTCCCCCCAGATGGTGAATCTAGTATTTGGGATGACTGCAGTAGGCATCCCTACTACTGGCAATGGATATAACTTCTAATTTCAAGGTTATTTATTTCGTTTTAGAATGATTTATATGAGGATATTATTTTTCCAAATCATAGTCTGTCTGATTTCATAATGATTGAATTTGTTTCAATTAGACTCGTACGTTCAATATTTATAACATGCAAATGGATGGTCAAAAAGTAGATAATTTTATAACGTAAATAAACTGAACTTAGAAGATGATAATGAAAGCAAAAATTGGACGAGATAAGCAACTGCCTAGCAGTCTAGGCAGTCAAAGGTCATGGCTCCAACACTGGTTCTCACCAATGTTATGGTTTCATTTATTCATGCTCATATGCAAGTGGCACAGTTCCATTCTGATAGTCAGAGAAGCCATATGTGTCTTCAATTTGACAAGAAAAAGTGCCAAAGTTTCCTTTATCACTATCCCAAGCATGTCCCAATGTTGACACAATATTACTATAGTTCTGGAATGCATGTTCTAAAAAATTGTATTATCTATTACAACTTTAAGTTGCAGTTAGGTCTTATGATAGGCTACACTAAATGGTGATTCATTCTCACGCACAGTACTGCAATAACTGCAACTTTTTCCTCATGAAACTTAGGGTGTACTAGTATTTCACAATATTATGTGTGGAACTCCACCATCCTCTTGCACACACTATAGCCCACTGGTTTATGTTCCAGAAAGAAACAGAAAATACAATTCATTTTGTTCCCTCTTAAAAATTAGTTTAAGGGTTCATTTCTGATTCAAAGGTTTTTTGTTTGCTAAGAAAGCAATGCTGATTTTAGACTTTTAGTTCTAAACTAATAGTATTGATCAATAACAAATAAATATTATATTATAAACCAAAAAAATGTTTAAACTAAAACATACTGGCTGATACTGAAAAATCCCAGCACTAAGGAATAACAAAAGTAAATATATCAAATGCAGCAAGAATGCATACAGAATTAGCAAATTCGGCATTTCAGAGAGTTCCGGTGGAAGGTAGCCAGATAAGTTGTTGTTGTCAAGTAACCTGCACGATTTCAGGTCATGAACTAAAATCAGACGTTCAAGAAGCAGTGGAAGGCTTAAAAGATTAAGATCTTCAACTCACAGGTGAACAAGATTTGGAAGTCTGGACAACTCTGGTGGTATTTGTCCACTAAGTGAATTATTATTCATATGGCTGCTCAAGTAATAAGAATTAAAAAAGAAAACGTATTGATAAATATCAAAGAGGATATCTTTGAAACAGGTAGAATAATCTCAAAAGAAACAACATCAGCTCAGAAATGAAGAAGAATCTTTACAAGTGTTTTGCGTTGTTCAAGTTTGCAAATGACGCAGGTATAGATCCAGATATTTGATTCTGGTCAATTTGTATCCTGTTCAAGTTAGGAAGAAAACCAATCTCATCGGGCAAGGAACCTGTCAGTTGATTTCCATTAAGAAGCCTGGAACCATAGAAAGGGAACCGTGAGTAAAAATATAATGGTTTGGATCATGGTGAAGCCACTGTCGAAAATTAGAAATTAATATAACGGATTACATAGCAGGACTCATAAGGTTTACTCCAAATGAGAAGTCAGTCAAAAATCAAGCAAAGCAGGACAAGTCATAGATTTGAAAATGGAATAGTGAAAAGGAAAATTGAGCGAAGAGCTGCGTCAACTTACAACAATTCTAACGTCTTAATGCTGCCTATCTCCTTGGGTATACTCCCAGTAATGTTGTTCCACATAAAGTCCCTTCAAAAACAATAGAAAATAACTAGATAAAATGGAAAGAAAGGTGACAGATAGGTAGAGCGAATTACAAGGTAAATTATGGGGAAAAAATGAGCACAAATAGATAAAGAAAGGTGTATTGTTATCTAACTTACAGTATCTTCAAATAAGATAACTGACCAAGTTGTGGAGATAAGCTTCCTGATATATTCATATTTAGTAGTAACCTGTTGGTGAAAACAAAAATGAAGGCAGTATTGTTCAGTCACTAGTTATACAGTTTAGCAAATTCATAATTTGTAAAATGTTTTCAAATAAAGTCTAGCATATCCACAAATCTTCCCTGGAATCTCATTCAGTTATATTTGAAGGGGTCTTTATATGTACAGTTCCCATATAACAGAAATCTATATATTTTTTCCCCAAACATTAAGACAATAGCAAGGTTATTAATATATGTAAGTATCAGTATTTCACAATAATATTAGATTAACGTAATCTATCCTGCTCAGTATACAAGAGCCATATGCCAGGCATGCCGTTATCACTTTATCAACTATGGTCCTTTTCCATGGCAGTATGCAACTAAAAATGTCACAAAATAAAGCTCTATATTGTTTGACATGCCCAGCAGTCACCATTAAACTCAATGTTGTAGACATGGGAAAATGTGGTCAATCAATAATTTATCCACCCATCAGATTTATCATTTGTTCATCACCAGCTAGGTTATTAACCCTGAGGGGTAGCTAAGTGGTCAG